TCCCCGAGTCCGAACTGAAATGGGAACTAGAGGTTTTTGCCGAGTGTTCGTGCGCATTTCTAGTATTCGTTACCTGTTCTGTGAGCAGATCAGCTTCTATTTGGAACTGTTCAGAGTGGCAATCCTAACGATCCTCAAGTAGATGGTATAAAGGGACTACTGGAAGCATATCGTTCGGCTATGATGGCAGTGCAACCCTTTGCACCTACAGACTTTTCTGAAGTCATTTATCATGTGTCAAAGTGAGTTAGCTGGAGGAAGCTATAATTTCGTACTATTTCTATTTGTGATCTGTTGTTATTTATTTGGTTATTTGACATTTGTGCTGTTCTTTTTACGTTTCAAAGACTTCATACTCAGCTGGAGAGTTGTGCCGACTTTTTCCCTAGCTGGTGTGAATTTTGTTGGTTTACAGGTTTGCCAAAGCTGAATCGAGACGCCGACTTGGCTTGTACTTTGTCCTGTTGATCCTTACCGATGGAGGTCTCACAAACCCACGCCGCACTATTGAAGCCATCGTAGATTGTTCTCCTCATCCGATGAGCATAATTGCCGTTGGAATTGGGAAGGTATTCGAATAAGATGTCAAAATGCGCCCATTATTAGCAAACTTGCTAAACTTATTCTATTAAGGATCGAGAATTTGCAAGCGTGAAAGCTTTGGAATCACCGGTTCTCAAGCACTCTGACGGTCGTCCATTGGCCAGACAGGTTTGTCCCTTTTCTGTGGAATTTCTCAAGCACACTTCTACGCCATTGAATTTTTTTCCTTCCCAGAACTTCCAATTCGTTCCATTCGATGAACTGGACAGTGATGATGCAGTGGCACTGATTCCTCTCCAAATTGCGCAATGGCGGAATTTGGTTTCGGAGAAGCCGTAAGTGCCTCACTGAATGAATTCGAGTTTACAACGAGAAAATAGCAAAGAAACTTACTTACATGAAGCCTCAGCCAAAGGTGGGGCATCTCAATTATTCCTATTCTTTCTACCTAGCATCCCGGTTGTTTTGTAAGTATTCTCTCCTATCATTTCACTCTCCCTTTCTGAACATCTTGCCTCTGTACCGACAGTTTCTTCCAGCGGAGTTCTTGGCTTCATTGTAGGAGTGAGGGGGGGGGGGATTTTGCATTTCGTTGGATTTTTTTAGTAGTTCCTGTTAAATTGCAGATCCTGTTCTGAGAAGACCTGTAAACTACGGTCAAGTGTTACGGGTCTCCACAGGAGCCCTCTGTAGGCCACTGAGGCCAGTCAACGCCCTCTCCTAGCTGATGGGCGTGTCAGGGGAGATGAGTTTGGCACGGTGCCAAACCCGTTCTCCACCAGTGTTAAAGCGAGCAAGTGATATGACTGTATCATATCGTTCGTATTACTCGTTTTCTACCACTTTTTTGTCGCATGCGCGCTTCAACAAGAAGGCAGAGAACGGCTTTGACGGCGTGACACACTCATACTGCCTGACACGCCCAACTGTCCGCAGCGAACTAGAGTGTATTTATGTTATTGGAGATTTTGTAAGCGTAACAGTTTCCGGGAGCCAAGCGCCACAAAAGGTTTTTTGAGGTGCTCCGAGAACAACTGTTATGTGTAGAGGACAGATAGGCTTGATACCTCATTGGTTGACTGCAGATGAGGGGTAGAAGTAGGGTGAATGCCAACTCCTCCGCGCCTACGTCCTAACTAGGGCACTGTCGGAGCCTTACGCCAAACTATAGTGCTAGAACCGCTCTTCCCTTTTGCCTAGCTGCTTGAGGAGTTTTAAAAATGGTAATGGCCGTTCTGTTGTTGTCAGATACAAGAGTACCTTTTGCGCCTCTCCTTTCAAAAAACGTTTCATTCCGCTCCTCTAAATTTTGCTTGTCATATTGTTCTTTTGGTGTAGAATTGTAGAATTTTGTTATTAGTGAGTATGGATCTGCCATCTGTTTAGCCTTTTTACTAATTTCTGAACTTGATGCTCTAGCCATTTGCAATGTTAACTGAGGTTCTTATCGCTGCCGCTTTTCCTTTGTACTTGTGCGTTTTCCTAAAACCTGTTTGTTTTACTTAAAGCCACGTTCCGAGTGGCGCATTACTTGTTTTTAACACGGTAGTTCATGATCCTGAGAACTTTGGCTAGCTGCTTTCACGTACGGTAAACTGAGCTTTCAAATGGCCGGGCAGGGCAGCTCTGCGTGTGCGACGTTGATTGCCACTCCCAGTGCGCATGTTACTATTGTCTTGTCATGTACTCATGTACATCTACAGTATGGGGCGAAGTTTTTTCATTTCTCCTTTCTGAATGTTTTATGACACGTCGTCAGTCAACACGACTCACGTCTATCGTAATCTTTTTGGGTTTATTTGTTAAATCGTACCCTTTTTGTGGACATTCGTGTAGTGCTGATTACAGATGTTTGTTACCATTAGTATTGAGCGGTTTTTAAGCGTCATATCGCGCTAGGAAAGCGATTCTCGCGGTGCGATTGCGTTGTGTAGTTGCCTGTCCTTAAGGTGTGATGTCCTCTCTTTGAATCTGTCATTAGGTCTGCCAGCCATCTCTGCGCGCTGGACTCTTGAGGGCAGGAGCATCGCTCGCAAGCTGCATGCGGGTGAAACGGCCCTTATTTGCCTGCAGAATATGTACTGTATAAGAGCATTTGTTAGAGATGGTTTAGCATTACTGTATCTCATTCAGCGTTCATAGTTTGCGACAACGATGAGCGCGCGATGAAGGCTAATATGTGCCTTGCCCTGAAGCGATCAATTCGATTGCTCAGTTGGGGGTGTCGCAGACTATAAGCGCTGCCTTGTTGTTGTCCTCTTTGAAATATTTTCACATGTGTTACGGGTCACTCAGCAGTGTTTTAATTCAGTGTGTCATTAGAATTGCCTAGATATCAAGTAGTGTCAATGTTTTCGTTGTCAAAATGAGGGGTGCTTTTCAAGTGTTCGTGTACTATTGGTTTTATATGGATAGTAAAGGTTGTTCAGTTCGCAGAATTCGTAGTGAAAATCTTAGCGAGCTCATACTGTGCTTGCTTCATAGCCCTCATTTCGGGAGGAGGGGGGGGGGAGAGAGAGTTCACGAAATCCGAGTTGCCGCCACACGCTGGTATTAGTTTGCCAATCCAGCTGTACCAGCTAGCTGACCCAGCTGACTGTAATAGCTTCTTACCAACTTAACCACAGTCTCATTCGCTGCGAATGAAGGGGCATGCCAATGAGACTGATTTGGCGCGCTGCCAGCCCATTCTCCTTCACTTGCTGGAGCGAGTAACTGACAAGAACTGGTGCAAAGCGGCTGATCCGAACGATGTGGTACAGTCTTCGTTGCTTGCCAAAAGAGAAAGGCAAAAATGGGCTGGCGCCGCGCCAGACCCATCCAACCTGATACGACCCACATCGGCAGCAAACAAGACTATAGATGCTGGTGCAACTGTCGGGTCGCGGACGCAACGATGCAACCGTGCAGGTCAAAACGTTGGAAGTCTTACCAGTCTTACCTACACTCTGCTTTGAAACGGTTATTCGGTACTGCATGTTGTACATATAAGGGACGGAATGAGTAGTGAATGAAGGAAGGAAGTCTTCGCCGTTGATCAATCCCTTTGTGGGATGCGGCACGCATTCTACTTCCATTCAGAATCGTAGTGGCTTATTGAATGCGATGTGGCCTATACAATGACTTGCGGGGGCCAGCCGATGTACAAGTCAGTGTCATTGTCGGGAGCCCAGGCAAACAAAGTTTTCTACCCTCCCAGGACGATAAATTGGTTCGAATACATCTGGGAGGACAATGACACCGACTTCTGCATCGGCGGTCTCCCGCAAGGCATTGTGCAGGCCACATCGCACTTCAATAAGCCACTACGATTCTGAATGGAAGTAGAATGCGTGCCGCATCCCACAAAGGGATTGATCAACGGCGAAGACTTTATCCTTCATTCACTACTCATTCCGTCCCTTATATGTACAACA